ATAGGCAGCTGACCAGCGAAACGAATTCCTGTTCTGAGCCAAGCAGTACCTGCCCTTGGTGGAAACTTCACAGAGTAATGACCGAACCAGGTACACCCGATTCTTGAAACAATAGCACCTAAAACTTTGACAAAAGAAATCAAAAAAGAAAAGAACTTAAAACGAGGACATTCACAACTTGTAATCGTCGCCAAATATTATTTGGGTGACCAAATAAAGGAGGTTAAGATGGACGGAACATGTAGTATGCAAGGAATGTGAGAAATGAATATAGAACTTGTCAGAAAACCTGACAGGAAAAGACTACTTATGAGACCCAGGCGTAGGCGGGAAGATAATATTAAAAATAATCTCGAAGAAACAGGAAAATGTTACAGGGGAAAAAAACACAGGAGGGCTGTGTATTTTATCTATTGGATTTTAAATTATGTATCAATATTAAATCGTAAAATTAACACTTCTACCGTTTCATACGTATTTAACATTACAAAGGCCACAGGACTGTAAAGTTTGGAATAAAGAAACATCAACTATCAAAAACATACCAACTAAGATCTCCAAAAATTTGTTTAATCGACATACATTACATTAGAGTTAATTAAAATAGCATAAGTGCCACAAACCCTTGGACAAACGTCCGAATTACCCTCCGGAAATCGATTGCCATTCTTAGATTTTCCAAAGTCATCGGCAGGCTTAGTATTGACAGGACATCGACTAATCTTACAACGCGAACATCGTTAAGAAAGCGTAATAAACAACCACGGCTTTATATTCAATAACTTAAATCAATTACTTAAGTTCCACAGTTCCTGTAACGTCATATGAAATCAAAAATTACGATAAACCATTTGAAGCCGAAGCTCAGTTTGAATAATATATAAGAATCCAGTCCGTACCGCGAAGAAAACACAAGACTTCACCATTAAAAAGATCGAGTGGTTAACCATTTGAAGCCGAAATTCGTCTACGTAACATTTAAGAATCCAGTCCGTACCGCGAAGAAAACACAAGACTTCACCATTAAAAAGATCGAGTGGTTAACCATTTGAAGCCGAAATTCGTCTACGTAACATTTAAGAATCCAGTCCGTACCGCGAAGAAAACACAACCCTTCACCATTACAAAGATCAACTGGTTAACGCTGTTTAAGGAAATAATCGCAGTTAGCATCCTCCTACGCGATCTCCGATGCGACATTCCGCCTGCATCCTGTGCCGCTGGAATGTTCAGAATGTTCTTTTCTCCAGGCCCCATTCACGACGGCTGTCTCTGCCTGCCACACGCGTGTCGCAGCTGTCTTTCCCAGAGCCAGGGCGATAGACAATGTTAAACAGCAGAAGCAGCAGGCCTTTCGCTATTCAAGCACTAACCCTGTTTTAGGAACAATTATGAGACAGCTGGTTATAGTGCCCGCATAGCTTTTTTCTTTTCTTAGAGATTTGACCCTCCTATATTCTCCTCCCGCACTGAAACAATAAAATTTCCATGTTTGGTGCAAAACTGATCTATCTGTTTTCGAGCTATACGTAAACAAACACGTGAGTCTCAATGGAAATTTTGAAAATAAAGTTTGAGAAGGGACGCTGTCCTCGAAATGTGAATCAAGCCAAGAAAGGAAATGAGAACCTATGCGAGAAGGTTCTGGCAAAGAGACGCCGAGCGTCACAACAAACAAGAATTTGGAGATGTAAAGGATTAGCGTCGTGATCACTGCAGAATTCGATGGGGCGCCGAGGGCAGAGAACTCGATACGGGTTAATACGCCGAACCAAAGCCATCCTAATTTGACGTAACCTAATCCAACCACACGCAACGCAAACCAAATCCTACCAAAGCTAACCTAACCTAACCCAACCCATACACAAATTAACCTATTAACCTAACCCAACACAACGTAACGTATCCCAACATAACCTAACCTAACCTAGCTTAAGTTAGGACATTAGGAGAATAGGGGAGAGCAGAGAGAACAACCGAAGAGAAGAGAGCATAGACACGGAAATGTAAGGAGAGGACAGGAAAGC